CTCTCCAAATCTTTAGTCCAGATTACATAAAATTATAAACAAAAATTTCATTCCCTTCCAGAAAGCTAGAAGAAATTAATCTGGATTCTGGGATTAATTGAAAACGTAAGTAAAAATGAAATCAATGCACATTTATTTTTTGAGGGCCCACACATAAGCAATCATCGTTTCTTCTTTCTTTTACAAAACCAAATATCATGAATTAAGGAAGAAAATGATGAAGTGGTATTTAAATATTTCATTTTTATAAAAAACATTTTTTTTTCTGTGAATATGTTCCCTTCCTTCCTGACAAACATTGAGCCCAGATCAGTGGTGCACACAGGTGGCGTGACAGCCTAGAACACAGGAAAGCCTGACATTTGCATACGGCAGGTTGACTCTTTGATTCTTTTTTTTTAAGCAGCTGATCAGTATGGGATCGGAACCCTTGACTTTGGTGTTATAATACTGTGCTCTAACAACTGAGCTACCCAGCCAGCCCCTAGCAGGTTGACTCTTCCAGGACTTCCGTAAAAAGTTTTGCATTTCTCAAAATAGGAATGAATTAATCTAATTAATATTACTGCTCGCTTAACATTTCTTAACATTTCAGTGAGAAGATACTCTCCCGATGACACTGATGGAAAAACAGACATGGAGAAGTGATCATTCACATGACACGATAAAAGTCAATAAGAACGTCAGCCTAACAAATGAGACAAACAACCTAATGACCCCTCAGTGTTTCCTAACTTCAAAGAACACCCAGATAGAAACACAAAATTATAGACAGAAACCAGCGATATTAATACACCATTTACTCCTTAACTGCTCATAATTATTCATTTTAAAATGATAAAACTCATTATTTATTGCAAAAAAAGTAAATCTTACAAATGAATATAAACTAAAAAAGCAAACTATCTACTCCCCCTTCCTTCTAATCCCATTCCAATGACCTTTTTTCAACAGTTTGGAGTATATTCTTCTAGACCTTTCTGTGGATGTGTACACATATTTAAATACACATACCATGTATATACAAATCAGCATGGGTTTTTCACTGAACGGTATGTTATAGACACCTCTCCATTCATTATCCTCCTTCCCAATCAGTGGGATGTTCATCAGTACGCCAGGGAGAGAGGCTTTCTGCAAAGGCCTGGACATACGCCCAAACAGTAGCTTTACGTTTGCCAGCCCTGGGAAGAAACTTTCCATTCTTGATAGACTAAGAAGCCAGTTAAGTTATTTTTAGGTTCTCACATTACAAACAATTGTAAAATGTGTATCCCCGTTTACATCTCTGCATACTTGTGAGGATTTCTATAGGACACATTATGGAGAACTTACTTCCATAGAAAGCTGCAGCCTCAGAAGGACTGGGGAGCTCTAAAGAAGGACCTATCTTCCCCTGCCTGGCTCCACTCCTGACATCTAGCTTATACACTAACCAGAACTGAGTGGGGGTATGTAAAGAACCCCACTACTGAAGGGAAATCCTGGTTTGAAGTCACAAATTTACAGGAAAGGAGTGACTGTTAGACTAGAGAAGCCGCTTGGCTCTGTGCACAAAACAGGAAAGGCGGCTTGCAGGAGGAAAACCTGACTTCTCATCCTAGCTGTGCCACCTGTGAACTAAGGGAACCGGGACAGGTCCGCTAACGCCACTGACCCCTATCTGGAGAAGAGACATAAAAATACCTGCCTTCATCCACCTGACTGATTAGTTGTGATTTCAAGTGACACAATGACAATAAGGACATTTTGAGGCACCTGGAGAGAGAGACAATTGTTAAGTCTGCAACTACTTGCCAAAAGTCACAAAAGGAAGAGACTGAAAGAGGTAAAATAAAATGGTTTGCTGAAAATCAATCAGCACTCATGGAAATCAACTCAAAAGAATTTGCTACCTATCATAGGAAAAATGACATAGAATACAAACTGTGCTGCAACGCATACGGCTCCGGGCCCGATGGAAGATGATAATCACCGTGAACAAATGCTGAGTGCACATGTATGGTGCACACGCACGCACACATGCACACGTGTGGGCACACACATGCATACGCGTGCACAGATCATGCACACATGTGGGCACATATGCACACACACCCTGAGGCATCCTCCCTGGGACAGATCAATGCAAAGACATCAAATTATAGTATTACCTCCAAGAGGCTCTTCCAGTGTCCGGCCGCGGGCGGACGGACGCCCGGCCTCGGACTGCCTTCGTCGGCCTCCGAGCTCGCCCGGAGCGAGCAGCCGCCACGGAGCCTCCTCGCCCGCTCCCCCTCTGTCATCAGGCACAAGCAGTCACTCTCCTATTTAACACAATGTGAGATTTTTAACTTCCAGCCATGATGGAGTAACTAGGAGCAGACTTACAACCCCAGAGTAAACAAGCAGAAAACTGAACACAGAAAAATATTTTTGGGCAATGGGCAACAAAGGATTATAACACTTGAGAGACAGAAAGAAAAGTAGTAAACCCAGTAATTATCTTGGTTTTCTGCCCGAAGGCACTTTATGGACTACTGTGCAGGGAGGGGGAACCCAAGCAAAGTGTGGGAGTCTCCCTAATTGAGGAGAAACAGGACTTTAAAGAAAGCTGTGGCAGCTGGAATTTGCATGGCAAAGTACCTGAGAGAAGGGAACTACACAGAGAAAGAGCTCTGGTCTTCTCAGGTATGTTGCTGAAAATAAGGCTGTGCGTGAACAGGGTGAAATTCTAGGAGGCCAAGCAAAGAACAAGCAGGAGCTGTGAGCTGAACAATTCCCAAAGCTCAAACAGAGCAAAGAGATTGAGTTCAGACCAGTCAGAATGGAGAGTCTTTGTAGAACCCCTAAGTCATTCAGAAGATACTCAGAGAAGAGAACACATTAACAGTAAGGGCTGAAATAGCCCTAGAACAGGGTTGACAAACTTTCTGTAAAAGGCCTAACCGTACATACTTTTAAGCTTTGCAGGCCACATACAGATTCTGTCACAAATTCTTTTGTTTTAACAGTTCTTAAAAATTGTAAATACCAACTCTTAGCTCAAGGGTGATACAAAAATAGGGCCAACCTGGATCTGGCCTAGAGGCTGTAGTTTACTGAACCCCTGCCTTGATAAAGGCCACCTGCCCTAATAAATCACACCAACAATGCTTAAAATCAAGGCTCAAAAGGACCAGACTGATCTTCAAAAAATATGACTGACTTACAGAAAACACCCAAACACTCTTTAAAGAACGATAAAATTTACCACTCAATAACAAAATTTCCATTGTCCAATATCCACTCAAAAACTAGACATGTAAAAAAGCATGTAAATGTGACAAAAAACCAGGAGAAAAATCAATCTACATAAATGAGAGATGACAGAATTAGCAGAAAAGAACTTTAAAACAACTTTTATAAATACGTTCAAGTAGTTAGAGGAAAGTGAATACACGAAAGAAATATAAGATGTTAAAAAAACAGTTCTTGACATAAAAAATATGTTATATGAAATATACAATTCAAGGGTTGGACTTAAAAACAGACCAGACACAACGGAAAAGATCAGTGAACTTGAAGACATAGCATAATTTCTGAAATGGAAAGAAAAAATTGCTAAAAAAACAATAAGTCTCAACCTGCGAGACAATACCAAGTAGTCTAATATACATGTAACTGCAGTCCCAGAAGAAGGGGACAAAAACACATCTTAAGAAATAACGGCTGACATTT